TATATATATATATATATATATATATATATATATATATATATCTTAAAGAAATGACGACACCTTCAAAAGAAGGGAAGGAATGTATATTTTATTTCTATAGCTGCCTGCCTCAATCATAGACTACGGGTGGCTTACAATTCCAAAAGTGTAAAAGCAATGAAACAAAGGCATTTTATTTTAAAAACAATAAAAAAAATGCCAAATAAATCTACACAGCTGCCAATAGGCATACAGCCAGTTGGATCATTGAGACGAGATCCAACTTAGAACGAAGACCCAATTCCCTGACAGTGAGGACAATGAATCCGTGGAACAGAAGTTGCCTCCCGAGGCTGTGGGAGCTCCATCACTGGAGGCCCTGAGAAGGGGGCTGGAGGAGGAGACCCCCAAGAGAATAAAACCCTGTTATTCTGGGTTCTCAAGCAGGGGTCTCCGACCTTGGGCGCTTGAAGGCTTTCAGCTTTGCTAGCTGGGGAATCCTGGGAGTTGAAGCCCACCAGTCCTAAAGTGGCCCAGGTTGGAGACCTCTGTTCTAAAGTAGGAGCTGACCCCTTGAGTTTTCTCTCTATTTGCCTACCTTCGCTCTCTTCAATACAGCTAGTCCTCGACTTACAACATTTCACTTAGTGACCGTTCAAAGTTCCAACCACACTGAAAAAAGTGACTTAGGACCATGTTTCACACTTACGATGGTTGCAGCATCCCTATGGTCACGTGATTTGCCTTTGGATGCTTGACAACCGATTCATATTTATGACGGTCACAGTGTCCTGCGGTCCCACGATCCCCTTTTGGGACCTTCTGGCAGGAAAAGTCAAAGGTGAAGCCAGATCCCCTTAACAACGGCAGTGACTCCCTTAACAAATGCGGCAAGGAAAGTCACACAGTGGGGCAAACCTCACTTAACAAATGTCGTCTCACTTAGCAAGATAAATGTTGGGCTTAATCGTGGTTGTAAGTTGAGGACTACCTATACATACATAGAGATTTGTTTGTATGTGTATTAGACGTATCTAAAGATCAGGGTTCAGACCGGTTCTATAGATCCGGTTGTTATGATTCTGCGTAGTTCGGAGAACTGGCCAATTGTGCCCCCGGCTGGCCCCGCCCCTCCCTGCCCCCAGGCCCTGTTTTTTGCCTTCCTGGGTCCCAGGGGAGGCTTCTCTGAGGCCCAGGAGGCCCAAAAGTGGTGGAGGGGGATGCTGCCAAAAAAGAAGCCACACCCACCTAGCCGCGCCCACAGAACCGGTTTTTAAAAGAATTGAATGCTCAAGATCCTTTTTTAGTGTCCTTGTGTCGTTCTGGGCGTGAGACCCACTGGGAGTGGCATTGAATCGGGGATTGACTGGTAACACAGCGCAGAGATAAACCATTTTGCAAAGAAGCAGGTAAGTCATTGTGGATCCTACATCACCTCCCGCCCTTCAAATCAAATTGCAGGAGGCCTTAATGCAATGAGACACGAAATGGTCTCAAAAGGGCGCCCAGCCAGGAAATGCTTCCCCTCCCACCAGAACAAATATTGCTTTCTGTTGCTCTATAATGCCATCCTTCCCACGGCTGCTCCCACGGCGGATGGATAACCCTGTTGCCCTATGCAAGGCAAGCTAGAGATGAATGCAATTAAGGGGCAACAACATCGGGTCTGATCCGTTTTTAAGTGGCATTCAATTCTGGTAATCTGGTTTTGAGACTGGACCTTTGCTGCTCCGAAGATCTAATCCTTTCTAAATGCTGTCTGGGTTCCTGGGGAACTGACCTTCTTGGTTTTTTTTTTTCTTTTTTCTTTTAAACTTTGCTGCATAATTCTTTTGTTGGAAACTTTTAGATTCTTATCCCCAAAGCAAGGAATTGGGGATTATCATTTCCTGAAATCTTTTTGTCTTTGTAGACATTGAAAGAACAGAACTGTTCTGGCCAGGGCTTCCCATAATTAAGCACGTGCTTAGTCCAAACAACACTTGTTTTATATCAACGCTGGGAATTATGTTCATTCCCAGCCGGTAATGAGCCCCAAACAGTCCCCCGAGATAAGCACCCACCTCTCTCTCCTTTGAATGGCTGCCAACAGCTAAAGTGCCAAATGAACTGTAAAAACCCAACCGAAGTACAAAGTCCACACAGAGCTTCAAGGATTAATCCGAACAAAATGAATGACTTTGCTTCCTGCAAAGGTTTCTTCACCTTTGCCTGTCCTTTATCCCTTATGGGAGGGGCAGTCACCTCCCAGCCTTACTCCCGAGTTGCCCCTTTTGTTTCAGCTGCTCTCACCAACTAGCAGCTCTGTACATACATGCACTGGGAACAGGCTCCCCTTGTTCCTCTGCCTCGCTGCTTTCCAGGCTCCAGAGGCTCCAGAGGCAGCACCCCACTCCCAGATGGCCCCGGTTCCATCGCTTCATCGCATGCAGGACCCTCGTCTGAGTCCTCTCCAGACTCCCGGACTGGCCCATGCTCCTCCCCACCTGCCCGATTCTGCTGCCGGCTGCACTGGCTGCCAGCGGACCACAACAATAACTGAGTGACAGGAATATGGTGGAAAGTATCAGGTTCTAATTGGCATAGAAGTGCAATATATAAACAAGACACAAATAAACGTCGATGGAGATTCCCAATCATCCAGGCCTTGGTTGGCCCAAAGTTGCTTTAAAAACATAATTATTTACTTAAGCCAAATAACTGCCTTTTTTCAAAAGACAACTGGACTTCCTTGTTGTTGTTTTTTTCCCTTTGAAGATATTTAACTTCTCATCCAAGAAGCTTCTTTGGTTCTGAAAAAGGGAACTGAAGAAGCTTCTTGAATGTGAAGCAAAACTTTTTCAAAGAACACCCCCCCCCCCCCAAGAAAGTCCAGTTTCCTTTTGGGGGGGGAAAAAGCAATTATTTGGCTTAAGTAAATAAATAATTAGGTCTTTAAAGTTCATTGCTATATTTTTACTGCTAGCTTTCATCTTTTAACAATTCTTACTTGCTTTAGGATCTGCAAGCTGGCCAGAATCACCAGTAGGGTAGCTGGGTGACAAAATAAATAAATACATGAAATAAATAAATAAATTTACATTTCTTCCTTGCCATCTTTATTAGTTTTTAAGTCAATTTGAGTGATAATATTCATTTTTAATCGTTCTAATGTTTTGTCTTATTTTAATTGGTTGTAATAAAATAAGCAAATAAATTTCATAATAAATTTCCTTGTAGGTAGATAGATGTAAGATGGGCGGCATCTAAGTTTAATAAGCAGTAACAATAAATAACAAGGATTTCTCTGCCAGACCGTTGGTGCTCCTCGGTTTTCACAAACTCCCCTTTCTTGCTTTGGTTTTTGACAGAACAAGATCATCTTAGATCCCATGACGTTCAGCGAGGCCCGATTCCGGCCCTCCCTGGAAGAGAGGCTGGAGAGCATCATCAGTGGGGCTGCCCTCATGGCCGATTCGTCTTGCACCCGCGACGACCGTCGGGAGAGAATTGTGGCTGAATGCAACGCGGTGAGGCAGGCGCTGCAGGATTTGCTGACCGAATACATGAATAACGTAAGTGATGGCCTTCCTTCCTTTTCTCCTCTTTTCCTCGTCTCGCGTGCTTGGCTGGCGGCATCCACTCTTGGGGGTCCCCAGAGGAAGGGGGTCCCTTACAACCATGTAGGGAGTGCAACTTTTGGAACTCTTTGAAGTGTGAAACCATGGAAGGTGGATTGTGGAGTTTGGTCCTGATGGAAATTTGGGTTTTGGAAGGAGAACCAGAGGGAGCCCCTGGGAGCTTCCTTAGTAGAATGGGGCATGTCCATTTTTAATATGTACATCTTTGGTTGCTTCTGCCGTGTTTTATTTAAGTATCCCTCCCGAAGATCAATAACTTATTTTACCCCACAGCACCACTGCATATAGCAAAGGTTTCCAAACTTGGCAACTCTTAAGACTTGTGGCCTTCAACTCCCAGAATTCAGCATGGCTGTCTGGTGAATTCTGGGAGTTGAAGGCCACAAGTCTCAAACGTTGGCAAGGTTCGAGGCTCCCTGGCATACCACACATATTATAAATAATAGGATATAATTGAAATAGAGCTACCGATTGGAAGGTGTAAACCTCTGGTAAAGTGTTGGAATATTGCCTTTCCCCTCATAGTTTCAGACGTGATTTACTTCTTTGTTTAACTGCTGGAACAAATGTTGGAATCTCTTGGCTGAAGTAGTGAAATCCATCAGGAAGGACAGATGCTTTTTAAGGGTGTCGTGTGAGTTATTAAGAAAGTATGTCTTGCGTGGGATTTCCACAGCTGTTGAGCTGCTCTCTTTATGGCCGTGGTTACAACGAAGAAATCTTTGAAATATATGTTACCACACTTAAAATGTCCAGGCACAGAAAACAGAGTGTTTGGTAGCATAATCAACATTGTTATATGAAGGACTTCCCTTTACGGTATTGAAGATATCTCTAAATCTGAAACCTTCCAAGATTGCTTAGCCAAAGACAACTGATGGTTTTGCGTTGGTGTTTACTCTCTTGAAGTGCACCACACTTCAAGGCCACCAGAACACTTTGTACAATTTGATAGCTTGTTGCCAAGAACCAAATTCAACAATATTGATAAGACATCTTTGAAATTAATAGCGGATTATGTATTTTCCCTTTAGAAGGTAACATTCATCCTTTTGACTATTTCAGACATGTGTTTGTAGGGAGCTTTTGAAACAGTTGATAACTATATTATCGAAGAGTTGGGACAGAGGAATACTTCCTAAATTTGGAGAAGATTCAACAAGTTTAGTAAATGCTAATGAATCACAAATGGATCTTTCTGAAGGTTTCCAACATCCTAAATATGATTTAAAGTTTGATTTTAAAAAATGATGTGATGTAGCTGATCTTTCCTATGAAAATCAATAAAGCGCTACCTAACATAAGAATGGAAGATACCTGAGATTTCCTATTGTTTTACCTGGGATTTCCCTTTACTTTATCTGTGAAAGCAACTTTTGATGCATGGAATTTCGGCTTTTATTGTTCAGTCAAGATGGATCTGACTTCTTTCTATCCCAAGTGGGACATTCACGAGCCTGAAACGACAGTCAAGATGTCTGGTGTTTAAAAAAAGTTTAGCCCTTCTAAAAAAAGTGGGGTAGGGGGAAGAGGGGGGGATTTTCCCCCCAGTAAAGTCAAAGAATTTGAAAGAATACAATGAACTTTGTTAATAAAAATGGTGGCAGTTCATAAAGATGATTAGGTGCCAATAGAAACACATACTATTTCCATAGCAAAGAAGATAAGGCAGGAATGGTTAAATTGATTATGTTATTCTAAGAGGGAAACGTATTTATACATAGAGTTTTTCACTTGGGTATGACTTCTGAATTTTGTGATAACCAAAAAAACACCCTCCTTTGGTTTTGTTGATCAGATAGATTTATCGTTCTAGAAATGGCTAATTATATACTAATGTGTAAAAGCAAAAAGGTGAAGCTGGAGTGTTTTTATCTTGTACTGGGCCAAAGAGAGTTGGAAGTCAAGCCTTCTCCTTCCCCCGGTAGCTCACATTTCCTTTCCCCCTCTCTCTTTTCCTTCCCCTAATATCCTATTCCTACTTTTCTTTCTATTTCATATATCAAATAAATAAAATAAATAAATTAAAAAGGATGTCTGGATGCAGATTGCGAAGAAAAGATGGTTTTAAGTTGAAAATTGTAAAACAGTGACTGGAACTGGCTGTTTCCAGTCTTTCTTCTAGAATTCTTGTAAAATGGATCTTCCGTAGACAATTGGTAAGGTTTGTTCCTTCTCTCTCTGTCTCTTTCTCTGCTTTTTTCCTCCAATTTATGTTTTTATGTCTTCTTTAATGTGATTGACTGATATGTTGAAATGTTCCTATCAGTCAGCTGGGAGGGACCCTCTAAATCAGGGGTCTCCAACCTTGGCCCCTTGAAGACTTGTCCAGAGCTGGCTGAGGAAGTCTGGGAGTTGAAATCCACCAGTCTTCAAGGGGCCAAGGTTGGAGACCCCTCCTCTAAAGGGCCACCCCCCACCCCCCAGAGTTACAGGGTCTGCAGTGGCAAGGAAAACGGCAGAGTCCCCTTCGAAATGGCTTTCACAGCTCAGGCATTGGGAATGAGGGGGGGGGGGTGATGATTGTGCTTTTAAGTAGCCTAATTGCAAGCAATACTTCATGCAGTGAAAAATCTGAGGATTAATAAACTTTCCCTTCCTCCCCACCCTGGAGTAGAAAACCCCAAAAGTAACATGCTCAGTGTGTGGGGGGGGGAATAGCATAATTTCAATAGGAACATTTGCTTTTATTTTAGATTCATTTTGGATGGTTTAACCAGAGGTGGGATTCAAGTTTTGTAACAACCGGTTCTGTGGGTGTGGCTAGGTGGGCGTGACCAGGTGACTGGGTGAGTGTGACTTTTGGGGGGAGGCAGCAAACCCCCCCCCCAATTTTTTGGGCCTTCCGGGCCTTAGGGAAGCCTCCTGGGGGACATTTTTGCTCCCACCCAGGAAGGCAAAACATGGAGGGAGGGCCAGGGGGTTTGTGCCCCCCGCCTCCAAGTTCTGCTTTCCTGGGCCTCAGGGAAGCCTCCTGGGAAAGGCAGTAAGTTAAACGAGGGGAATCCCGGCACAGGTGATCATCGGGAGAGCTGATCGTCAGGAGGGGGGCGGGGAAGAAAAGAAACACCTGGAGGAGGGGCTGGCTGGGCGGGGAAGAACGCAGTCGTCAATGCTGCGCATGCACAATACGGACTGGCTGGGCGGGGGGGGGGAGGGGAGGGGTGAGGCCAGCCAGGGGCACGATTTGCTGGGTCTCCAAACTGTGAGGAATCATAACAACCAGGTCTATAGAACCGGTCTGAACCGGTAGAATCCCACGCCTGGTTTTAACCATGGCCACATAATAGGAAAGATTTCAACAAGAAAAAGCTGGATTAAGACAAGATAATCTCACCGTCTGGTGTTTCGGGGGCCTTCTTTATCCTTATAAGTGAAAGGCACTTTAAGGAATTGCACGGCTTCGTTCCACGAAGTCAGGAAAATAAATAAATGTTGTTAGTCCTCTCTAAACGTATGTCAAGTAGTCAAGGGAAAGATGAAAGACAGACTAGAGGAGCTGATGTAGAAAGCAGAACAAATTACACATGGTCCTCGACTTACAACAGTTCATTTAGTGACCGTTCAACCTTACAACGGCACTGAAAAAGTGACTTATGACTTACGACCTTTGTAGAATTCCCATGATCAAAATTCAGATACTTGGCAACGGACTCATACTTATGATCTTTGCCGTGTCCTAAGGTCCGTGTGATCCCCTTTTGCGGATCTTCTGACGATTAAAGTCAACGGGGAAGCCAGAGTCACTTAACAACTGCAAATAACTTAACTGTGGCGGCAAGCAAGGGCAAAGAATGAGAAGAATGTCAGGATTCTGGCCATGATCCCTTTTTAAATAATGAGTCTCTTAGCTGGATTTTCAAAGCTTAAAGAAGATTTATTAGGAGTAAACATGCCGGCACTGCCTGAGTGTAGATGACTTTGAGACACATAATCCATTGTCACCCTTGACCCTGGTTTCCCCCCCTGCACCTCCTGGTGTATCGTAATTCATATTCTCCAATGGGACAAGTCCATAGCCCAGAGTCCTCAATCATGCTCTCCAGTTAGATATTTGCTGGCAGAAACTTCACCTAGTTACTATCTCTGAAAAACTATTTATGGAATGCGCTTTCGATTTCCAAGCTGCCGCACTGATCTTTCAAAACTCCTTTCTTCCCTCTCTTTCTGTTGGCAACTCTAAAAAGAAATATAGAAATATTTTATGAGTTGACAACGAAATTCACTTAACAACAGAAATTTTGGGCTTGAGTTGTGGTCCTTAGGCCGAGGACTACCTAGAGATAGCGATGAGGTTGACAGAACGTGGAAGCCGGGATTTTAACCACTCTGGCTGAGCTTCTTCCTTGTCATCCTTGAGCTGAAGAATTGGAAGGGCCCAAGGTTAATCCGCCTGGCAGGGAACAATAAATGATCTTCCCCAGACAGACAGAGGCATCCATCGCTGTCTCCCATCTGCCTCCGGTGATTGGTGGCGGCCTTGGAGAGCTGAGTCATCCGGATTGCCCCATTTAGTCAGGTTACCTGGGAAGAGGGCCATCGATCAACGGGTCCCGTCCACACAATCCTGCCTTTTCAGGGAAGGCTGAGAACATCAGAGCCAGCAAAGGAAGCATTCGTAAATAGTTCCCTACTTCGGTGTAAAGCCCAGGGAAGTTCTGTCGGAGTTTTTAATCACAGGTGGGGTTTAGATTTCCTCCTTCTCCTTTTTCAATCTGGTGAATTTGATGGATTGGGAGGGAAGCGACTTGCCGATAAATTTCCCCATTCATCTCAATGTCGGAGTAATTACATTTTTATGAAGCAGGTGTCAAAACTCTTGTTTGAAGAGATGGGTGATATCCCGACATTGTTTTTAAAGCTCTGGAACATACTTTCCACTTCTTTTTTTTATTCTGGGTGCAGAAAGAAATGGATGAATGACTAGAGAGGTA